TGCGCTTTGGTGAAAAACAGCAACATCACTCGAGAAGACTCGATTCGATGAAACTGACCAACTCAAACGTAGTTACCGCCTACCAAAACAGGCTAGCTAGACAATCTGTCTCATCCTCCCTGACAATCAGTAGACTCACATCCGTAACGCCATTCATAAGTCCGCCACCACAGTATGTGGCTTCACCAAACGCTGTCAATCACTGGATTTCGGCACCTTCTCTCCAACTGCTCGATATTCGTCGAAGCATCCCTCCAGGCAATGAATACAACACAGTTCGCAGGACTCTCAGAGCTGACCTGAAACGGTTCCTAAAAGAAGATCGAGAGACCTGGTGGGCACAACGCGCTTCCGAGATGGAACTAGCCTCTGCTTCCAGTAAGGCTCACAAACCTTCTCGACTTATCTGAACCACCAGTAACAAAAAACAATGCGTCAGTGAAACCACATGCGAAATTAATGGCGAATGTATCCACAATCTACAACGTCGGCTTGGGCGATGGGTGGAGCACCTTCATCAACAATTCAGTTGGCCATCAACATCATCACCATCTGCCAATGTCTGTAGTGCTCCATGGTCCGTGGACATTTCATCGCCTACGGAGGAAGAAGTCTTCCGAGAACTCAGGCTTCTGAAACTCCACAAATCCCCCGTCCCTTTTCAAAGACGGTGGTGCAAGCTTTGTTCGCGAACTAACTTCCTTATTTTATATAAGTTGTAATCTTGAAAACACAGCGATGTCGGTACAGATGAAAATAAGCTGACGTTTCGGTTACCATGGGTAACTTTTATCAAGGCGATTTTTCAATCGAATCAAAAAAATCGCCTTGATAAAGGTTACTCACGTTAACCGAAACTTCGGCTTATTCTCACCTGTACCGACATCGCTGTTTTCAAAATTACAGCTCATAGAAAACATATCACATGGCGCATCGATTTTTCGATACACTCCGAACGTTGTTGGGATCTGACACTTTAACTTCCTTATTCTTAACCATCTGGAGTACTGAATCCATTCCGTCCAAATGGAGCTTGGCGGAAGTCAAGAAGGATCCCTGCCACAATTGCTCCAATCACCGAGGGATCAGGCTCATCTCTGTTGCATCCAAGCTGTTAACGTCGTTGATCCTTCGTAGGCTCAGTTGGACAAGAGAGCGTCATATTCGCGAAGAATAAGCTGGATTCCGCTCTGACCGGAGCTGCGTTGATCACATATTTACGCTAAGCCAGCTCCTCGAGCAACGTCAAACGTTCAGTAAACCAAACATCATTGTGTTTTTGGACATACGTGCTGCGTTTGACTCTGTTGACAGAGCAGCTCTTTGAACTTGTCTGTTGGGAAGCGGTGTACCTGAGAAGTATGTAAACCTTCTGTCTACTCAAACATCAGGCCGCGTCAAGGTCTATGATCGCATCTCCTCATCATTTACCATCACAAACGGGGTTCGACAAGGGTGCCCAGCTTCGCCCTTCCTCTTTAATTTCGCAATAG